ATACAAGAACATACTCTTCCTATGACTTATACATCTATCATCTGTTTGTGAATGTTAAACTGCTCTAGAAAATGTTCTTCGAATCAAGTAAAATACAAGAACACAATCTTAATATGACTTATTCATCTATGATTTGTTTGCGAATGTCAAACTACTGTAGAAATTGTTCTTCGAACCAAGTAAAATACCAGAACATAATCTTTATGTGACTTATTCCTCTATCATCTGTCTGTGAATATTAAACTGTTCTAGAAAATGTTCTTGGAACTAAGTAAAATACAAGAACATACTCTTAATATGACTTATTCCTCTATCATCTGTTTGTGAATGTTAAACTACTCCAGAAAATGTTCTTCGAACCAAGTAAAATACAAGAACATAATCTTTATGTGCCTAATTCTTCTATCATCTGTTTGTGAATGTTAAACTACTCCAGAAATTGTTCTTCGAACGAAGTAAAATAGAAGAAGATAATCTTAATATATCTTATTCATCTATGATCTGTTTTTTTAATACTAAACTGTTCTAGAAATTGTTTTCAAACGAAAAGAAATACTAGAACACAATCTTACTATGATTTAATCATCTGTCGTTTGTTCATTAATCAGCTGGTTGAATAAAAATTCTATGCAGAGTGAATAAAATAGTTGGATCAAGTACTTGTGCGAACAGTTTATAAGTCACATATGCTCATGAGTCGCCTAGTTCGTACAAATATTCCTTTGAGCTGTATAAAATACTCGAATATAATTTTCAAATGAGTTATTCATGTATCGTTATTTCTTAGTCACGAGTACATCTTTTTAACACTTGTGTAGTGAATTACATATTTGAATGGATTTTGCATAACGTTAGTAAATATATTTTCTTAAAACTATTTATTTATTTATTTATTCAAAATATAATAGTTCCAATATTGTATTTTATTTTTTATATATTTTGTCACATTATTAATTCATTTGATTTCTAATATTCGACTGAACGCTTCTTTATTTTCTTCATAGGAATTATGGATTGCAATTATTCGCATCGAAAAAACAGAACAATATTTCTATTGAACTATTTATTTTATTACATATATTTAATCGACCATTTTTTCCTTTTTGCTTTTTCATATTTTATTTTTTCATTTTTGTGCGTCAATTTTTTTTCAATAAAATTAATTACTTAAAAATATATTTTATTTGTTGTCTTTCTTAAATAACACAAGAGATATCATTGAAGCAAAATATATAAAGAAAATCTTTTCATTAGTTTGATATATCCATTTTATATCTAGGTTTTATGATACTATTGTATCATCTATATTTCTTCGTTTTGTATGGGTTTTTACTTTAGCGTTTCAGCTCTCATATATTGTTACATTCTGATTTTGTTGTTATCTATATTTTTCTTTTTCCTTTGTTATTTTTCTCAACGTACAGTTTTCTTTCTCTTCCTCTCACTCTTTATTATGCTTATTTTTCTTCTGTTATTGGTTTTTTCATGTTCTCTGTACTATTAAGCTCTAATGGTTATCAGTTTAAGCGAAAATAAAAAATATCTTTTACTATGATTGCTTGCGATTGAGTTTGATATGAAATGAAACGAAACAGGGATTGAAGTTACCATGTTTATTCAACCATGACAGTTGACTACACTCATGGTAAAAAGTAAAAGAACAAAACTCGCACACGTTGTGTACAGAGAAAGAACAGAAAAGAAAAATGTTGATAATGAAGATGATACGTGATGATGACTAAGAATAGATGGCGCGTGAGTATTAATATGTGAAATTGCTTGATGCAAAAAAATAAATAAAATGAATTTGATGTGTATATGAGATAACAAGTGATTTTTAGTTGAAAACTATTCTCGTTTATTACTTATGAACTATTTCGTATGATAACTGGTCTATTATTTAAATGAAAAATCAATATAAAAGTGAGAGTTGTAAATAGTATCATATAAATATATTACAATACATTCTGATCATAATGACAATCGAATGACTAATATACTAGCTTTATGAATACTATCGAAACAGATTTATCCTATAAAATATTAATACAATACAGTACTCTTTTTGAATAGGATAGATACATGAACAGCAAGTTATTAATATCGAATATGTGTTATAAAAAAATACTATCACGTTGAATAAAGGAAACAAATATTATTATATTAGTTGGTATGGTATATGAAAGGTTTTGTAACTGAAATATGTGTTTTTTGATCTTTTCTAACTATCTGTTTGGTCAAGTATGAATGATCTGCACAATTATTTCGAAATATCAAAATCTGTTAAATAAACGAACTTAATCAGTACAAGAATTCAAGTATCAAAAGTATCGTTGTATATATATTATTGGTTACGTAAAATACATATTAGTTTTAATTAAGTAATACACCATAAAAATCAATTTTAATAATTGTACTTTGTTTATTAAGTGGTGTTGGTTTAAGTATAATAAGAAAATTTTCTGTTAAAATTGGTTCATATTCAAAACCATTAAGAATTTTATAATCTTGAATACGATTAGTAAATAAATTTCCAATAGGAAGTGAAAAACTTTGTGCTGCATTAATATCTTTATATTCAATAATAAATTGATGTGTAGTTTCACTTGTACGTAAAAATTTTGTTGTTAATAATTCTTTATTTTTATTTTCATCTAATTTTGCTATGAAAGCTGGATCACCATAAAATACAAATGTATCACGATCATAACATAAACCATAGATTTGCTCAAGAACTTTATCATCTATTGTCTCATTTTCTAAATGATATTGTTTTTCAAGTTGTTCAACAATAGTTTCATAACAAGGATCATCATCACTAACATCAAATTTAAATTCAAGATATCGTGAATCAATTGATTTTAAATTATATGTCATACATGCTTGATGTAAAAAATATGCATCAGCTAAAGTCAATCGACCAGGTATACTTTTCCATAAATCAAGTGTTCCCCATCCAGCACGACCAAACCAAGTTCGAACTGTATAACCACACATTTGTCGAACACCCATTCGACCAAGAAATATTGTTACCATACATTGAGATCCATTACAATGTCCAACAAGACAATTAGCAATTGGTAAGAAAATTTTTGGATTTGCTGATATCTTAATAATTGGTGCAACTGGTTGTGAGTTATTATCGAGAGGTGTAAGATAAGTTTCTTGAACTTCTAATTTTCCTAGAGACCATGGCATTTCAATCGACTGCTCTGTACCATGACCACTTGTAATTAATAGATCAGGTTCGATTTCATTTAATTTTTCTGTAAATATAAGTGCTGGTGCTCTTGGATATTCTTCACCTTGATTTCTTTCTTCTCCACTACCATTATCTAAACTACAATTTTTTCCGTACCAACAACCTTGTTTTGCATCAGAAAATGTAAAACATGTTTCAAATAAATTTTGATCAATATTTGTAAAATTAATTGATCGTTGAATAATAAATGGTTGCGATATGGATTCATTATCGATTGATTTTAATGCATGTTCAGCATCAATACCAGTTATAATTGCCCACATTGCATCAATATATGGATCATCATCGAGTGTACGCATTAAACAATGACATTTAGCTACAAAAATTCGTCCGCATTCATTCGGTTGACAAACAAATGCAACATAACGTGGCATTAAGGTTTGTAAATCTGAACGTATTGATAATATATCATTGTCCGAATAAACGAATTTTTGAGCATTTGGATGAAGTTCAAATAGATGACTAACAACATCATTCCATTCAGCATCATTTAATGTTATTGATGATACAACAACTGCATATGAATTCGAATAAAGTGTATTAGGAGTATCAAGAGTGATATCTTTTTGTGTGCAAGCATTTTCTTGATGATGATGAGGCATGATACGATTGTGTGTATCAATTCTTTACTTCTTCATATATATATATATATATACTGAGATATCGATCATTAGATAAATGTCTTATTTTTTTTTTGAAATCATCAAAATATCATTAGAAACAATTACGAGCTGTTACTCAATACATTGAAATTATTTAGCCGTAGAAATATGATTTATTCTATTTATAGCAAAAGATTCAATAATCAGAAAAAAAACTTGCTAAACTAAGTTTTTCACAAATATACATATAAAAAAACAATTAATCTATATAAAAAAAAATGGAATGTTAACTGAAATATCAGAAACAAAAAGCAATTTAATTACAAATAATATGTATTAAAATAGAAAAAAGTATAAAAATTGTTGGTATATGTAAACGAGATGTTCCATTGCAACCATCTCTTGAACATGTATATGTACATGAATAATACATTTTCTCATCCTGAGGATATTTTACTTCAATACATTGATTATCCATATCACGAGAACTACAAAAACGTTTCGTTGCAACAGCACCTAGAAAAAATAATAATACTTTTAACTATTCAAGTGAAAAAAAAATAAGTCAAACCTCCAAAAACAGCAATTGTTTTAATACAAAACCGTGCATCTTGTACACCATCAGGTCCACCACATTCAACAGGCAATATATCTCTTCTTGTCCATGTTTCTGGACAATGTTCATCCTCTTTTGAATCACATACAAAACAGCTTAATGGATTCGAAACTAGAACAAAAAAAACGGATAATCATTCATTAACACAATTAATTTCAATGTAAATATTTCCTACCATCAATTAAAATTGCAGAGATTAGAATTACAACAATAAAATATTTCATAATGAAATCTATAAAAGTTCATTTTAAGGAAATAATCATAATAGGAATAAAAGACGAAAAAAGACAAGTTTATTTTATTTCTTTACACATGTATACAAATAACAAATAGAGAACACACAAAGAAAAAAAAAGAAAAAGGTTAATTTAAAGAAATTGTGAACAAAATGAATCAATTGCATCAGCACATTGTTTAGCTTGATGACGATTTGCACCAGCATTATCGCGTATCCAAAGTTCAAAATATTCTTTATTTTTTAATAATGTTAAATAAATACCCAATAATTCATAAGCCTTTGAATAAAAATAAAAGAAATAAGAATAGATTAATAAAAATTCAATGAAAAAACATACTTTAGTAATACCAGATCCTTCTAAATTACTTGCTAATTTTGGTCCAATACCAGGTACTTCATCAAGAAGTTTATCTTTTAATGGTTCACCTGTAAAATCACGAAATTTTTGTGATGTTGTCGATGACATAATTATTTAATCTAGAAATAAATGAACTTAGATCTTTTATTGAACAAATGAGGAGAAAAAAAAAACAACAACATCATATTAAATTCTTTTTATTATCTACACACAAAAAAAAAAGTTCTCATTTAAATAAATGCTTCAGCCCATTCAGAAAATGCATCTGCTGCTGATCTTGCTTGATGACTATTCGCACCACATTGTGTTTGAATCCAATCTTGAAATTGTTCAACATCTTTATTACATAATAAATATTTACCAAATAGAGTATTTGCCTAAATTAGAAAAAAAAAATATATCAATTAATCAATTAAAAAAATATTGACACACAAAAATCAATAACATACTTTTTCGTAACCAGCATCAGACAATTTTGTTCCAAGGACATCACCGATACCAGGAACATCTCGAATATTTTTCTCACCAAGTGGTTCAGCCATAAATTCACGAAATTTTTGTGTCGTTGATGAACTCATCGTAAGGTTTGTAAGAATGCAAATGAACGAATGAAACAAAAAAATCTTTTTTTTGTGTACGCATACATGTGTCTGTCAACTAATATAGCTCATGATTCATAGAAAGTATTTCTCATTGGCTGATTCATTGATAAAATTTATTGGTTGACCTTATATAGACAGATGATGAATCATCACATAGAAGGAACGCGAAAAAATATATAATGAATGAACGAAGTCTATTAGGAGACACTCTTGTAATTAGTTTTCAAGGTAAATTAGACCTATTTATTTTTTGTATATGCTATATAATTGAAAACATTTTTGTTATACAAATATACGTTTTTTGTTGACGTTTATTTGATATCCTATAAGCACGAAAATTTCTTATGACAGCATTGAATAGGCATCACTCATATACTGAAAATAAATGTAATCGAGAATATCAGTAGATTAAGAAAAGAAAAAAAATATTCACGTACGTGTGCCTTTTTTTTTTGCTTTCATTTCTGTTCGTTTAAGATTAATGCGTTGTTTTTAACGCACAAATATATTTCTTAATGGCGGCTGCAGCAAATTCAAGTTTACTTTTTGACAATGTGAATAAACTCTTGTCAACCTTTATTCCAGCACATAATCAACATGATTGCAATCAGTTGTATGCATCTATTGGTGTTAAATCACATGGAACAATTACTTGTATGGAGAAGAAAATTTCAGTTTTAAGACAATCTTCAAAATTTATATAATTATTTTTTTTTAATTTAAGTTCCTGATAATAAATCCAATCGAGCTGAATTTATTCGTGTACCACCTGATGCATCCGTTACGCATGTTAAAGATCTACTTAATCGACTATGGTGTAATGGAGTAAGTTACTTAATCGTGAATAGTATTTGTTATTATGATGATGATGATTATTATTATTTAGCGTCCATCACTTGTCATATCGGTAACTGGTGGTGCAAAAGAATATAATATGAAACCAAAATTATTAAGAGCATTTCGACGTGGTCTTCTCAAAGTTGCACGTACAACTGGTATGGAAATATTTTTCGATAAGGAAATTGATAGAGAAAACAACATATTAGTAGAAAAATCTCTTCTAATCTTTCAGTTTTTAAAAAATGATTACGATATATATTTTCCATCACATGAAATACTTTTATGAAACAATCAAATCTTTTTCATATGTTTTTATAAGGAAAGAGAGCAATGCTCTAATGCATCGTTGATTATCATCATTTTTTCTTATGAGATAAGATCTCTATAATATGTCATCATGATAGTATTTGAAGAAAGAATTCATGAAATTCTATGATTTAATTTTAGGTGCATGGATTATTACTGGTGGTATGAATACAGGTATTATGAAACTTGTAGGTGAAATTGTTCAAATAAATCCTGATCGTTCTCGACCAATTCATTTAATTGTATGTTTTCAATGAAAATAAATCAAATATTTTTAAAGTTATTTTATAATTCTAAGGGTATTGCTACATGGGGTTGTGTATCTGGTTTTCAACAACTTGATGTACATGGTGCAAATGTTCATTATGCTAAACCACGTAGTGAACAAAAAGGTGAAGCACCACTTGAACCAAATCATACAGAATATATTTTTGTTGATGATGGAAGTGAAAGAAAATATGGTCGTGAAATATCTTTTCGTGCAAAACTTGAACAAGCTATATCAGGTGGATTTTTTGCATCAAAACCTACAGCAACTCATCTTAATAATCAATCGACTAGTGCATCAACAACTCCATCTTTACGACCGGAGCAATCAGGTTAATATGAATTTAAATATTTTATTTTTTTTTCTTCATGATCAGTTGTTTTTCTACAATAGATCCAGTACCTGTTGTTCTTCTCGTTGTTGAAGGAGGTCCAAATACAGTTCGAACAGGTATTAATAAATGTCATATATATATGTAAAGAACTAGAATAATTATTTTTCTTGTTTACAGTTCATGAAGCTGTTGTTCAAAATAATATACCAGCTGTGTTTCTCGAAGGAACAGGACGTTGTTGTGATTTGTTTGCTAAAGCATATCATCTTTATAATGAAAATCTTACAAAATTAGATATTTCTGATGAAACAGCAGCAAAGTAGCTATTTAAAACAGAAGACATTAAATTAAACATTAGTGTTGCTTTCTTTATTTAGTATGGATCCAAATGTTTTATTAAAACGTTATGATGAATTAAAAAATAAACTTCGAGAAGAACTTAAAGAAGAAATTCGTGCAATTAGCGGTGCAAGTGATACATCAGCTACAGCTACTACTAAAACTCCACGTAAAAGTGAAGCCACAACAGCAAATAAACCTAATGGTCCTGTTGATAAAATAGATTATTTTGAACTAGTTTATGAATGTATTCATACTCGAAAGAATTTCTTAAATATAATCAGTCTTAATTCACGAAATCCAGTTGAACCAGATATTGATTTAGTTATTTTACAAGCTTTATTAAATGGTAAAATATATTTCTAATAACATTTCATTCCTATAATAAATATTTACTTTTAGCTACATCGTCTAGTGGTCAAACTAAAACAAATATGCAACGAAAACGTGAACAACTTCGTTTAGCATTAGAATGGAATCGTGTTGATATAGCTAAAAATTTTATCATGAAAAATGATCGAGATTGGGAAGTAAGATAATCAAAACTAAATATATATAATTTTTTTTATCTTAAAACTTTGTCTATTAATTAATATAAGATTGATCTAAATGATTTATTTACATTGGCACTTAATAATGATCAAATAGCATTTGTTAAATTATTTCTTGATCATGATTTTTCATTGACTGATCTATTTCGTAATCATGATAAATTTATTACACTCTATACAAATGATCAGAATGAAGTAAGTTATATTTAATTTAAATTCTTGTTTTTTTGTTATTTTCGAATATATAGACTGACAATTTTCGAAATAATTACAATGATCCATTACGAACAATTTATAAAAAAATCATACAACCATTAATAGGAGATTTTTTTGATGTTGATGCTGTATTTCCGTCAGCTGATACAACTGCAGCTCATGAATTGATCAATAACAATGAAGATAAAGCATGTTTTTGCTGTAACCCTCGACGTTATCATAAAACTGAAGTTAATGATCCTAATGGTAGTATACACTCCGAAGGTAACTTTTACATTTATTTCATAAACAAAAATAAGAAATTTATATATTAACAATTTTGATAAAAGATAATAATCTTTATTTTTTATATATTCAGTTAATAGAAATTTTTATCAATGATATTCAATATGACAAAATTTCGTAGGCAATTTTTTTATTATGCATGTATTGAAGTGGGTGGGTGTGTTGCATGCGTTTAAATGCATTTGATATATTGAAAACCCATTAAATCAAAACAGATAAAATAAAAGAAATATGTCATTAGATTGTAACATGTTTTTCTAGTAAAATCTCAATATTTTTACTTATGAATAAAATATATATAAATTAATTATTATGGAATGTTATTATTTTTTGTTTGTCTTCTAGGAACAACAGGTTATTCTGCTGGTAATATTGATATTGATAAGGAACTTTTTCTCTGGTCGGTTATTAAAGGTAGACGAGATTTTGCATTATTATTTTGGTCTCGTTGTAAAAATAAGATTTGTAAGTGGAAAAAATTCTTCTTTTATTTATATATATATATATACGTAATGATATTATTATTAGGTGCAGCATTAGTTGCTACATTAATCTATAGAAAACGTGCTCGAAAAGAAAATGATCAAAGTTATAATCTATCAGCTGATGAATTTGAAAATTTAGCTGTACAAATACTTGATAAATTTTATCAATCAAGTTATCATGCATGTACAAAAGCTATTATAAGACAAATTCCAGCATATGGTAATGTTACATGGTTAGAATTAGCTGTTGCAGCAGAAGCGAAACAATTTATTGCACAACGAGCTGTACAAGATGTACTTAATGATATTTGGTTTGTTAGAAAAAAAGAATAAGAATTTTGAAATAAATATATATATATGAATATTTTATTTCTAGGTATGGATATATTGATCAACGTGTTCCTGATATGAAAATTGTTTTTTCTACAATTATGCTTTGGTATAGTGGTCTTCTTCCTTATCAAAGTGAATTAGTAAAAACAGATCCTGAATCATTATTTATTGAAGTATATATGATTGATCATATTATTTTGTTTTTTTATGAAAAATATTTATTTATAGAATACAATTAATAAATCACGTTTACTACAAACATGTGAACAAAAACGATACATAGATAGGTATTATATATGGAATTTTATTATTTAAATTTGACACATCTGATATTGATTTCGTATCTACCAGCTTTATGATTAAATGTACACTATTTTTCAACTGTTGTTTTTATTATAATTTCTCTAGGAAAACAGATACAGTTGATATGAGATTACTCGCAGGTTTATCAAATGGTGATAATATACCTGTTGAATTCGTCAATATTGGCTGTTGGGAAAAGTAAAGAAAGATAATTTGTAGATTTAATAAAAAAAAAGTTAACAATAATACTAGCTATTAACACACTTGCTATAATTTTATTTATTAATTATCACTAATTAACTTCTAAGCTAATCTCTTTTTTTATACAATATGGTTTAAGAAAATAAATAATATTTCTTTCTCTTTATAGGACAAAAGCTGGAGTTGTTAAATATTTTACTAATGTTGCTACATTTATGTCTGCTCCATTTGTTAAATATATTTATAATCTAGTAAGTATTCGATGAAGATTAGTTATTAATATTCAATATAATATTTCTCTTTATTTTAGTATTTTCATGTGTTTTTTCTATTGCTTTTCTCCTATGTTATATTATGTGATTTTTTTCCACTCTACGATTTTCCAGTGGATAAATGTGCACCATCCAGTGATCCACCAAATTATAATGATAATGTTAATAATAATAAAAATCATCAATCAGATCAAGATCACAGTAATACTAATAAACCAGGGCCGTATGGATTACAACGACATACACGACCAGCTACTACTGAATTGATACTTGCTGCATGGGTTTTTACATTATTATGTGAAGAAATTCGACAGGTAATGAGTTATAATTTGTTATGGTTCTCGTTCTCAATATTCATATTATAGCTCTTTTCAACAGAAGCACAATCGAAACGAAATGCTATTTCAGCTTATTTTAAAAATTTTTGGAATAAATTAGATGTATTAGCAATAATTTTATTTTTCACCGCTTTTACACTTCGATTTATACCAATAGCAGAATGTTTTTGTGCAGCACGTATTATTTTATCACTTGATTTGACTATTTGGTTTATGCGTTCATTGGATATATTTGCTGCTGTTAAAAGGCTTGGACCTAAGCTCGTAATGATCGGTGAAATGGTAAGCTGCACTCAGAGTAAGCTTAAAGTGGAAAATGTTTTTCCATTTTTGTATACACCATTTGATAGATTAAGTGCTGCTGATCACGAATATCATTTCCCAGGCTGTCAAAACTCTTTCCACGCTAAGATATTTGCAAAATGCTGAGAGGGTCTAAAAACAACCAAAAGCACAACATTTTGTTAAAGTGGTTGGAGTTTTTTTTATTCAGCTCAAAGTTTTTTGCAAATATCTTAACGAGAAAAGAGTTTTGGCAGCCGGGGATGTGATATTCGTGATCAGCAGCACTTAATCTATCGAATGATGTATAAAAAAAGCGAAAACTTTTTTCACTTTAAATTTGCCTTGGGTGCAAACTCAAATATTTTTTATTGTCCATTGAACATTGTCCATTCTTTTTCTTGTATTTTTCAAGGTACATGATCTAAAATTTTTTATGTTAATGTTAATTGTATTCATTTTGGCATTTGGTGTATCATCTTACAGTCTTATATATGGTGTACGACCATTTACTTGGCATTTACCACGTGAAATAGTCAATCTTGCATATTGGCAAATATTTGGCGAATTGAATGCATTGGAAAAATTTGAACGTAAGAAAAAAATTTGAGATTCCATAATTCAATCATTATTCTTGTTTTGGTTCTTTAGACGATTATAAAGCAAATGGTTATGCAGTCTTTATTCTACTTGTTGCTTATATGGCTGTTGTCAGTATACTTTTGATCAATCTACTTATTGCTATGTTTAGGTAAAATAAAATAAACAGAATAAGGAGATTTGGACTTCAAAGTTTATCTTGCACAGCGAATGGTTTTTGAGTTTTTATTTGTCAAGCAATATCGAATAGTGGAAAGAGTTAGTTTAGTGTTAATTCGATAGAAGACCAAAAGATGTCGATCCTACTTTTTTTCAATCGTATATTTTGTAGTCATTACTAGAGTAAAAATATCAATGATTCATCCATGATGAACATCATTTTCAACTATTTAAATAAGAAATAGAACAAATAACTGATTATATTTATTTATTTAGTAATACATTTGATCGTCTTCAAACCGATACAGATCGTATCTGGAAATTTCAACGATATTCTTTAGTGTGCGAATATTTATCTCGACCATCATTACCACCACCCTTCATATTCATTTCTCATCTTTGGCGATTTATATTATATACATCAGCACGATGTTGTCGTTGTCGACCTATTCAAGCACGATATGCACAACATTCAAGTGGAACGAAATATAGTAAAAATAAATTAGAAATTCTATCATTAGTTTTTAAATAAATTACTTTTTTTTAGAAACACTCCTTAATGAAAAATATACATCTATTATTGAAATAGCTGAAGATGCACTTGGTGATGAAGTTTATTATACTCATTTGAAATTAGGTAGAAAACTAGTGGATGAAACAGATTTAGATGAAGAACGTGTGTAAGTATTAAATCTTCAAATAATTTGATATTTTTTATACATATACCTATATATAGTCAAACGCCGCAAGAGAATATGTTCAATAAAATGCGAACACTCGAAAATCGAATACAAACAATGAGTAATCAAGTAATATCATTTATTTTATTTACAAGATTATATCTATATCTATATATATTTATAGCAAGCTCATATGTTTGAATATCTTGAATGTTTAATGGAAGGTTTAAAAATAATGGGTGGAGATCGTATAAAAACACCTGAAACACGTCGTTTTGATCCTGAAGAATCATGTATGTATATAGTTCTATAATTATTATTGAGTTTAATTTTGCTAATAACATCACTATTCATCGAAAAAAAGAAAGCAAAAGAATAATAAAAAACGAAAATTTTATATATTAACATAGTTGATGAATCGAGTGGTACTGGTGATCGATCCAAACAAATTTTTCGAAGAGAATCAACATTTGATGAACATCATCGTCATTCCATATCTAGTCCTGATGAATCACAATCTTCAATGATTAATTTTTTTCCTTCTCGCAAAAACGTAACTAATTGCCATAGACATCAATATTCCTTTAGCTTTTTCTAACATTTACATATATATATATATATTTAACCATAATTCGACATGAATGAATTTAGTATCTGCATGATTAAAATAGATTGAATAATACTACTTAATTGGTATTTATATAAATTTCTAAAACATAATTTTTATTTTTATTTTAGTAATTAATACACAGGTAGATGATGATCTATTACTACACAATAGCTATCATAATCTGGGCTATCATTCAATTTAATTAAATATATTTATTACTAACTGCGCTTATAATTGACCTTAAATTATTAATATTTCAATGCTTATAACAATCTTTATAAATATTATTAATCAAACGAATAGTTTCATGAAAATAAACTGTATTACTGTTTCTGTTTTCTATTATTTAGAGTTCATCAATGAACAACACACGAATGGGATTGGACCTATAAATACTTATTGTAGAAACAATTTTTAAAATTAATTCATCTGTGGTTTTTGTTTTTTTTCTTTTCTGTATAATTAATTAATTAAAAACGAACTTTTCTTTTTATATGTATGTTTTGTTTATAAGTTTCTAGTGGTTTTTGTCGTAAAAAAACCTTTCTCCAATTCTATCATGCCAAATTTTTTTCTCTTCTCATTTATTATAATAAAATCTTAACAATATAATATTTGTCTATTTATCATTATTTTATTTCTTTTCTTTTTGAGATGTCAGAAAATAGTCAGATGTCTACACAGTCGACAAATAATAATACTAATAATCCAACATCAGATGTAGTTACATCATCTGTTCCATTTACACTTAAACGTTGGAATCTTGTTGGTAAATTAAAAATTATCTGTTTTGCTTTTTTTATTTACGAATTAAACTTTACAATTAGGTATTTGGAGTTGGGATGTTGCTCATGATGTATGTGCTATATGTCGAACAGCTTTATCCGAATCGTGTCTACGTTGTCAAGCAGCAAGTAATCTTCAAGAATGTATTATTGTTTGGGGTACATGCAATCATTCATTTCATAATTGTTGTATGAGTCAATGGGTTAAACAACGAGCTCAATGTCCACTTTGTCAAACAGATTGGGTTATCAATCGTATTGGACAATAATTTATTTATTTTTAAAATAAAATCTATCTCTCACTATATATATGTATTTTTTTTCTTTGATCTTGTATTAATACATTTTAAAAATTAGACAAATAAAAGAATGATTTATTATTAAAAATGTGTATCAATAATATCAATGACTGTATATTGATTATTAATAAGTAAAATTTTTCTCCATTTATCAAATGTTAAACATGGATGAGATATATCAAATGCAATTATATCACCAATATGAAGATTATGATCAGATGGACAACTTAAATATGCATGTTGGTCCATCATATGTGTTATTTGATAGTTTTTTTCATCTATTTCAATAGGTTTAGACCATTCCGGTCGATAATGAAGAATAGGTATAGGAAAACCAGCATCAAATGCTGCATCACGTTTACCAAAACCAATAATTGCTCGATTCGTTTCAGGTATTGATTGTACATAAGCCCAAATTTGAAGTGCAGGTCGAAGTGCACCATTAGTACTAATTTCTTTAGCAATTGAATTTTGTTGAAGAATACGTGCTTGTGCACGGTGATAAGTACCCATATCATGTGATAGATAACAACCAGATCGAAGAACAATATCAACTGTAGAATTAACTTTAGAAAATTCTTCAGCAACAATATCATACCATGCTGAACCAGCACCTGATAATATTGGTGGTGAACGAGATAGTTTATTTGAATTAATTAAACGTTGTAAACAATCAACAGTTCGTTGTAACATAAGTCGGATGGATTGTTCATCATTTAATACACCTTCAAATAATTCAACACCTACAAGAGCTAAAGAATTTTCATATTTTGATAGAGTATCTAAAATAAGTTTTTCTTCGTCTTCATTTCGTATTCCTGTTCGTCCATTATTAACACCGATTTCAAGAAGAACTTGTAATCGTTTTTGTGTTTTATTATTATTAAAAAATTGTCCAAGTTGTTCGATATTAGCTGATGAATCAATTAAACAATAGAAATCAAAATTAGGATCATTATTTAATAATTCTTGAATAATTTTCATATTTGTTTTACCAATTAATTGATTTGCCATTAATATACGACGAATACCAACTGAATAAGCGACTTGTACTTGTTGAACAGTCGCTAATGTTATTGCCCAAGCACCATGTTCAAGTTGTTTATGAAAAAGTTTAGGTGCCATTGTTGTTTTACCATGTGGTGCTAATTTAACATTATATTTTTCAATAAATTTTTGCATCCATTCAAGATTATTTTCAATATTTTCCGATACAAGAACAGCAGCTGGTAAACTTATATCTTCTCGTAATAAATTCCATTCAGAATAATTATCACCTATACCTAGTCCTTTATGATAAGACACTAATGATTGTGATTGCATGATAACTATAACTGTGTACAAATGAAGCAAATATTTTATTTTATGTTTTTATTCATCTAAGAATACAGATATGTTATCTATTTATAGATATGGGAAAAAATGTAAATAAAAGTTATTCGACTTTTCTTTCATTATCTTATCAATTATTAAAATCATCCTTTTTATGATATAGCCAATTGACAGCTTGATTATTATTAACTATTCCAATGTACTTTATGTACAAATATTGCTCAAGGTTATTAAATACTCTTGTTACACAATTTGTAATCCTTTGATCATTTAGCCTTCATTGTATTTGTTACGTCTATATCAAGTATAGATTTTTTTTCTTTTCGTCCTTTTATTTTACCTGTGCGAAGGATAAAGGTTAGGTCGATAAAGATAAGAATATACTTCATCATTGTACAAAACGTTAACAATAAGAAAAAAAGGCAAGGAAAAATGTTAAATGTACGTCGTTGTCTTTATTCATTACGTTCATTAGAACCATTTTATCGATCTCAATCAACAAATGCTTACTCATCAAAATGGGTTTCATCATCATTACAACAAGATCTTGATAAATTTATCTCATCAAATCCACTACCAGTTTCAATCTGTTTAATCGGTGATCCACATTTACGTCGAAGTAATGAATTAGTTCTTAATTTACGAGATGGTTTTGTTCAAGCTACAAAATTTCGACTTCATCGTGCTTTAGCTGAATTCCGTCGTAAGAATGGTTTTGGTCGTGGTATAAGTGCGTGTCAAATAGGTGTTAATTTACGCATGATTGCATTGAACCTTGGTTATGGTCCATTAACATTAATTAATCCAAACATAGTCTGGTCTTCATCAGATATGATAACAATGTGGGATGATTGCATGAGTATTCCACGTCTACTTGTTAAAAAACAACGTTCAAAATCAATATCAATTGTATATACCGATGATAATGGTCATAAACAAGAATGGAATGAACTTGATGTATCAATTAGTGAATTATTACAACATGAAATGGATCATCTTGATGGTATACTTAATATTGATAAACCATTTAAAGATAATAATAATGAGAATGAAAATATTATTAATATGGATGAGTATGAAAGAAAAAAGAATTATTTCAATCAACAAGTTGATTATACAATTGTACCAACCGTTTGATATTAAAATGTAATATATATATAAACAATGAAAATGTTTTTTGATTTCTTTTGTTTTTCTGTTAAATTTAATCAATTCCCGGCATATTCCAGTTGAATGTTAATAAAAATAAACTAAAGTAAATTCTTGTAGTTAAACTAATCTAGGTGATAGTTATTATCAAAATGAAAAGAGAAAAAAAATTGTTCGCTTAAATATATTTTAGATGTCCATTCTATGAATATTTATTAAGATTCGTACAATCCAATGATTGATTTCAACTAATCTATTTTCTACGAAACAATTGACAATTGAATTATAAAAGGTATTTAAGTCTTGTATGGAAAATACAGGTGAATTTGATTAGATTAAATTGTATTTCTTCAACGAATAATATCATTTTTATAATATATTTTGACACAGAACTTTACGCCCTCTATCTACTGTTCATTTCGATTCCGTATTCGTTAGACAACTGGTACAATACAGAAAAGTTGGAGTTTTGTTTTTTGTAATGTTTTCTCTTTGTTTCTTGTTTTTTTTAATTATAAAACTATGATTTTTAATATTTATTTAATTTTTTAGATTGGAATAAGTTAATAATAATAATTTATGCCAGAAGTGGTAAGAAAGAAAATTTTTTAAAGTTAATTTAATTTTATTGATTATTATTTAGACAGCTAATTTTTTATGTCGTCAAGACAATGGTATAGAAAAAACACTGTGTTTCGTATATTAAACTAAATTGAAATATTGTTTTTTAGCTCATGAAGATGGTATATGGGCAGGAGCTTGGACAAAAAGTCATAAAGATGGTTCGGAACATATAATTAGTGGTTCAATTGATGATAAAGTTAAAATTTGGTCATGGTACAAAGAAAAACTTGAATTAAAATATACATGTACAGGTCATCGTCTTGGTATTGTTTCAGTTGATGTTAATCCACAAGGAACAGGTTTGTCAAAAAATACAAAATAATAAATTTATATGTTTATGTTTATTTTCAATAATTTTAATAGTTGCAGCAACTTGTGCACTTGATGCACAAATTAAATTATGGGATATTGAAAGTGGAAAACTTATTCGTGATATTGATGCGACTCCAGGTAAAATAGATGAAAAAAAAATATTTGATTAAAAAGTTTATTTTTCTTTAGTAAACGCTTGGAGTTTAGCTTTTTCACCTGATGGACAATATATTGCAACAGGAAGTTTTGGTGGTAAAGTTGATTTATATAGTTCTGAAACTGGTCAAAAAGAAATGACATTAGATACACAAACAAAATTTGTATTAAGTGCTATTTATGTAAAGAATAATCTTTGTTACAAAAAGAAAACTAAAATAATCGATAATTTTTTTTTAGAGTCCAGATGGTAAATTACTTGCATGTGGTTCACAAAATGGTTTCGTAAATATTTTTGATGTAGCAACTGGAAAATTATTACATACTGTAGAAGGTATTTACACATATATATATTCGTTGAATTTCTATCTACATATTCTATTTTACAAAAAAAACTAGGTCATGCTATGCCTATTCGTGCTTTATGTTTTTCACCAGATTCTCAAGTATTAGCTTCAGCTTCTGATGATTGTCATATTCGACTTCACGACATGTATATTTATTTATTCGATTAATTATTTTTATTTCGATATTTATTTATTTTTTCGATAGACATAATGCTCAACCAACAACTGTAAGTACATTATCGGGACATAGTTCATGGGTACTTAGTGTGGCATTCAGTTCAGATAATCAACATTTAATTTCATCGTAACTATTGATTTTTTTTGTTCATAAAAATAGAAGTATTGAATTGTGAAATTTTCTTTTCTAGTTCATCGGATAAATCGGTTAAAATTTGGGATACAAAAGCAAAACGATGTGTTTATACATCAGCTGAACATTCCGATCAAGTATGGTGTGTTAGATTCAATAATTCGGGTACACAATTTGTATCAATGTCACAAGACAAAAGTATCATATTACATACATTCAATCATTAATTGACATTCTTTTTGAACATTATTTGTTTTTTGTATAAGTTTATCCTAGGAATGATCTTCTATTGATAAAAAATGAAGGAAAAACAGAAGATCTTCTGTAAAATTAAATGTTCTCTATTTATGAAAGAATAATTATACTTTGCCTTAAAACCATGTACGAAATCTAGGAATATCGATTTTAATTTGCAATAAGAGGCAGCGTTGTGAGAGATTCTATCAGATTTAATGTCTATATTACATGATGATCATAAAAATCTGTCAAGTAAATGTTGCATATGACTCATTGTGTTACTTTGTAAATTATTAAAAGATTGAATGACTTTCTAAAATATCGAAGATTATTTTACTGCAATCAAATATAGAACAGACAAACTCAATAGATCTTGCAATTCATTATTAACAATCTTTATATTGACTGTAAAGTGCTTTATTTACACAATTGTAAAAATATAATGGGACTGTTTCTGCAGGAATCATTACATTTCTATTTACTTTTTATCTAAAGTATTTAATCATGTTTTTGTCGATTGGTTAGAATACTTTGTATTCTTTCATAACCGCAAGAATGAAGATATGCATATTATCTCAAGATTTCAGTTTTTTTCTTATCAGCTTGAACACATTTCATTATCTGTCTATCAGAATGAACTAAACGTTTTTTTTATATATATTTTATGTGAAGAAATTATCTCGAAAGATGATTATGTGTTATACTATAACGCCATTAAAGATGAACATCGTAACATTATTACCTAGTAACGGACTTGAAAAAAATGATTCTTATAAAAATAAACTATTATCATAAGAAAATATGTATATTCAAAAATAATATGTTTTTATTGTAATTAAATGTTTGATTTTGAATAATTTTGAATAGTTACAATTGACCAATTAAATTTGATTGATGAGTCATATTATACATATT